TTGTCATCTCTTTTGCTTCTTTCCACTAGATCAAAAGTATTAATATGCAAATTATATAATTCAGAGAATATAAAATCAGGTAATATTAAAGCTGTAATGGGGAAATTTTAAGTGAAACTTCATTTTATATTTGAAAAAAATTGAGGAAATCATTATATTCAAACTCTTCTGAGCCTCTTGGAGGCAAATAAACTAGGTAAGTTTTCTAAAATTGTTATACTCATTGTTATAATATATTCTCCCCGCACTGACGTTGATGAATCTTCACTCACTTCTCCTGACATTACACATCACTTTGAGCTATGGGCACATAAGGTTAAAAAATATTATTTTCTTCAGAACAACAAACTTTGCTTCACAATATACTATTTGATGCCTCATTTCAGCAATTTAAATCAAGATTCCTAAATCTTGTGGTAGATGAGATTTTTCACAATTTAGATTTTCTAATCCCAGATCTCAAAACAAATCTAATTCTAAACTTAGTTTCATAAATCCAGTCCAACTTTTTATCAATGGGGAAGATTTTTACTTAAAATAGAATCAAAGACCCAAACATCTTGGCTATGTTAAAAGACTACCCCAGATTAAATGATCTTTTGAGATTCATTGAAAAGATAAGGATGCCTTATGGGATGGGTAGAAACAAGTGAGTGGTTTGAGTACGATTACTAATCTGAGAAAAAGTTGATCTTCATGTTCTGTCATCACAAACTGCCAACCTTTGAAACACTGTCATGCCTGCCTTAAGGAAATCAATCAGCACCCTGTCACTGGGATAGTACAGAACGTGACTGTTGATATACACCAGAGAAGATGGAAATTTGAAGCAGAAAATACAAATATCTGTAACATCATTATATAAACTAATTTCCCCTGAGTTCCTAACATGAGGAAAGAAGGAAGTCCCTGTGGCTTATATACATATTCTGAGTCAGACTGGGTGCTTGAGAGATGTTTCTATTTGTGAAAGTGTTGGCTTCCCTGTCAAAAAATACTTACAGTATTTTAAAAAGCTTTATAAATAACAGACCATCTGAATTAAAAAGTGAAAGTTAAAGAGATCCTGTGATTTCCTACTCCTGACCAACAGTTCTTTGTAATATTGTAATGTGTAGTATGATGTGTGTGAGTATGTAAATATATATAGGTATACAGGAAATTAGCATTGTAGTATGACTTTTCTTGAAAGAGGGAAAAGAGAAAGTTTCAAATCTGGATTCCTTTTTAAGTGGCAACTATTAATAACATCAAGAACTCTTATAGATTATTATTTTCTTTAGAGAGTAACATGTTCTATTAAAAAGTTGAAAATTAACCTCATCAAAGTCACAAATAAGTTTTATTTTTACTTTTTTTAATCAAGCAGAATTACTTGGTAATCACTTTAATCACTTCATTCCCCCACTTTTTCCTTTTTTTTTTGAGAGGGAGTCTTGCACTGTTGCCTGGGCTGGAGTACAATGGCATAATCTCAGCTCACTGCCACCTCCACCTCCTGAATTCAAATAATTCTCCTACCTCGGCCTCCTGAGTAGCTGGGATTACAGGCGCCCACCACCACACCTGGTTTTCTTTGGTTTTTTGTGTTTTTTTTTGTATATTTAGTAGAGATGGGGTTTCACTATGTTGGCCAGGCTGGTCTCGAACTCCTGACTTCGTGATCCGCCTGCCTCAGCCTCCCTAAATGCTGGTATTATAGCCGTGAACCACCATGCCCAACCTTTTTTCTGTCTTTCACTCTTTTCCTTTTCTATCATGAACTTGCAGTGATCCTGCTCTTAGGGTTATCTACACATCTACAAGCTGTCTGTTAATTAGGAGTCAGGAACTGCACTCTGGTTCCTACCGCTATCATTTACCAGTCATATGATAAGCATAATACATTATCACTCTGAAACTTATTTCCCAAATATTTAAAATGTGAAATAACACTTTCCCTGTTTGTGCCAAGGTATACTGAAACTCATAAAAAAGTAAGCCAAATCAATATATGTATATATTAGTTTTAGAAATGCTCTGTCTTATGAAATTTTACACTATGTACATTTCAAACATTTAATAAATCTCTTCTGCCAAAGCCTTTAATTACAGCTAATGAATATTAAATAGTCAACAGTAGGACCCCTTCATGTATAAATTGACCTATTTTTTCCTAGAATATTTCTCCCTTCTCTTTCTTTGCTATTTGAACATTTCATATACATTTTATATTAGCCTAGTTAGGATAAACTAACTGTGACTTTGCCATTCTTGTCTATTCAACAAAAGTAGAGCAAATTAATATTAATTAAATACTCATCCTATTTTGCAGGACAAAGGGTCTTTTAAAAGAAATCATTATGGTTGGCCTACTTATTTCACATTGTAAAATTTACTAAAGTTTATGGATGAATCAAAACATGCTTTTTTTCTCTCTCTCTCTTTTTTTTTTTTTTTTTTAAACTCTCCTTTCCCATAGCAAATATGCCACTTTCATGACAGGGCCTTTCTGCAAGTCAAAGTGCATTCAGTTAAAGTCACCCATGTCATGGCCCTCTGCATGCCTGGGGCTATGCTTTGTATTCCATTCTCATTACTTTTAACAAGCAGTCAAAACAGTATTTGTCCACAGGGCCATACAAATGCCCCAGTACTTTAGGCACATCATGTACTTACCTTAGGCTTATCACACATTCTAAACCAAATTTTAGAGCATTTCTATTTCTAAGACTCATCTAAGAACCTGTAGTGAGCCTTTTTGTCATTTGCTGACAATCTTTCAAAGAATGTCAAATGAAAAGCACATTTTAACAAAGCTAAAATTTTGCCAGCAGGCTTGTTTTATTTGAATTAATTAAGCAGCTTTCAAGACAAATCAGAAATTTCTTGGAAGTTCATTAAGCTGCCCTAAGGGAGACACGACAAAATTTTTCCTTGAATAAAGCACTACATTTTAAAGCAACACATTTGTCAAGATGGTCAGGTGAAGAGACCTGATTGCCAATATTCGATTTAAATTTGGTAAAGTCTTATTTTGATTTTATCTATTAATTTTTATTTTCCAAATAAACTTTTTATTAGTTTCAGCTGTGCGGTGCAATTATGATAGCCACTAACCACATGTGGCTATTAAAATTAAAACTGAATTAATTAAGCATTTAGTACCTTAGAAGCACTAGCTACTAAGTACTTTCAAGTACTCTATAGCCATGTGTGACTAGTGGCTACTATATTGTATCACAGATCATAAATATACTGTCATTGCAGAAAAATTCTGTTGTGGAGTGTTACTTTAGAGAGAGAGTATCCACTCTGCTACTTAATTTATTATTTCAAGTGATAAGTCTCACATTTCTATAAGTAGTCGAATGTTTTAAAGCATCTTCAAAAATCTTCTCTGCAGGTATATCTACTCTATACTAAGTTCTTATTCTTTCCAATTCTGCCCCTGTGATAGTTATATTATTGTCCTCATATTATGACTGAAGAAATTAAAGGTCAAAAAGATTAAGCTGAAAGTAGCATGTCTGGTAAGAGGTAAGCACAAAACTGTGATCCATATCTGTCTGACTCCTGAATATTTTTCCATTTCATCAGATAAGAAGATGTCATTGCAGGGAATTCACCCAAAGTGCTCATTTACAAATCATCTAATTTTTAGTTTTTTGAGGATCCTCCAAACTGTTCTCCATAATGGTTGTGCTAATTTACATTCCCACCAACAGTGCACAGGGATTCCCTTCTTTCCAAAGCCCTCTCTTTCTGTGTTCACTTCATATATTCAAACATATCTGCATTTCACTGAAATTTGCTTAAGAGATCTGTAGCCTTCCATTTCTGAATGAATTTATAAACAAGTATATCTCTACAATAGATCAGCGTCAGTTGAGTAATTTTCTTATAATATATATCCTCCAGGTCAAAACCTTCAGATGATATATAGCAGAATATCTCATTTATGTGTTTTTGGGCATATTTTTTAACACTAGTTATTATGTAGATCATAGTGTGGCAGAATATTTATAAAAGTTTGAAAATCCCCTGAACATATCTTTCTGAATTATGCACATTTGTTCTTTTACTAACATATATTTTCCAAGATCATTCAAGTGCATTGTACTATCTTACATACCCGTATCTGAGTTATCTATTACTCTTTATATCATATAAGTAATTAAAAAGAATTGATTATTAACTTGATAGATGTGGCCTCTCTGCACATATTTTGAAGAATACCAAATATTCTATCTATTCTTCTCTCTGCCTTCTCCATCTTAAGACCCAAATCAAGCCTGAATAGTCTTTCAAATTAACTGATTGAATCTGTTTTGTTAAAAGTCTTACTTACCCTTTCCAACGAATGAATCCTCTGTTTTCAAAGAATTGCAAAATAATGAAAACATTTAACATTAACAGAACATTGACAAAAATTTAATCTAAACTTGATGATTCAGAATATGCTAAAGACCTTGCCTTGCCTCAAAATCCTCACGAAAAACATTTATCTTTTATCAAAATATTTATTTATATATATATTCAGAATTGCTAGTAATTGTTCTATTCACCTCTCAAATAAATTTATTTGGCACCATATCAAATGGCAAGATAAAATGTTTGTATCTAAAGTAATCACTAGGAAAAATTGATCCAGTCAAATTTGTGGATTCATTCTTAATGCTTTGCTTATGTCAAGTTTTGGCAAAGGCACGACTAGACAGATTAAAAGAATGAAGCTGGTCTGATTTGTAAGTAGCAGGGCTGACCTTCTTGTCTGATCCCTTTATAGATTAATGGAAACACAACTGTTTGAAAAATGAATATACATACCATGAATATTCACAATCCCCATGTAATTGCAAAAACTGCATTGATGAAGTTTTTCCACTATGCTTTACATTACACAAATTTTAGAATATTGGAGTGATGGCTTACTCAAAATTTGAAATACATTAATATCATTTTATTTTATTCTTTAAGAAATAAGATAATATCTTTAACAAAGTAATTTTAAAACGCACCTTAATTAGATGGTAGTTTTGAACTCCGTTTATTCCTACGTCAGGATCAATGGCCGCTGGGAGAGCATATCTAGAGTTTATAGCCGAGTTCTCTGGAACTGATATGTTGATAACCGTTGCTGGGAACAATGGTGCATTATCATTTATGTCTTCTATCAGAAAACGTATCTTAATCAGTCTAAATATTTCATCCGGCAAAACGGCAACCTCCACTTCATAAAAGCATTCAGTATCCATTGAGATACCAGCACATAATTTCTCACGATCAATGCGAGCGCCAGTAGTGAAGATCTCACCAGTACCCTCTTCAATTCGAATCAGTGGCACATCTCCGGTCTTGTAGACTAGCTTGAACTGCATAGGAGATTTCAAGGACTTGTCTAGAACCAGGGACAAGTTAAGGTCTTTCAACAAGTCGCCTATCAGGACGTTTTCTGGCATTTCTTCTCGGATGGTGTAGTTCTTCTCCTGGGCGCCAGACTGGAACACGACGCATGCTAGCAGGACCGCAAATATATACGTCCCGGACAACAAGTCCATAACAGGCACACTTATAACAGTTCTTTGTTTTCACCCACAGAGAACTGGCAAAGAGAAGAAGAGAGAGAAGAGAGAGAGAGAAGAGGAAGAAGAAATTATTAAGACGTCAACCATAAACATGCATGTTAACTAAAGCTGTTTTAAATTAAAATCACTAAATGAAATGCTAGCATAATTGACACTGTTAATTAGTGATAAATTTGTTTGAATCAAATATGAATTTGTACATTAAGAATAAAGATAAATGAAATAAGATACCTACAGTATAAAAATGACAGAGTACCTATAAAAGTGTCCACCATTGATAAAATATAAAAAGATAATGCATTAATATGCCAAGATAGTTAAAGGTTTAATACAAATAATTAAAACTATTTAATTCAATAGTTAAGGAAATATAAATGGGTGTTTCTTATAAATCACAAAATAGAATCATTATTTTTTGTTATAATATGGATTTCAAATGCAATTATTCTATTGGCAATGATTACTTTTATACAATAGTCCATTTCCTCAGTTCTGGACATCAAAGTGAAAAAAAAATTGATCTGGACACAAAGAGACAAAGAATCATAAAGGAAGGACTAAGAAAGTTTGATTTGAAAAAGAAAATTACTTTGGGAGAGGAGAGGAGTTGATGTGACAAATGCCTAAACATGGGAACAAATATCACAAGGATTGGAGGTTTTTCCTTTGTATGAGAAAAACAAGAATAGCTATTAACATAGAGTACAGGTAAGTGACATTCAGATTAACATAACTGCTCATTAAAAGATTCTGAAACATAAAAGGTTACAGGATACTTCAGGAGTGTACTCCATATCTTTGGAGGTGCTGGACCACCAGATTAGATCTAATATATTTACTTTAGATATGTAGATTTGGTAGATGATATCCAAACATTCAGTTGGAGAGTTAGATTAGAAGACACCCCAACCGAGAAAACTTTTGTTTATAGATTGCAGAAGGTAGTTCATATAAAAATGGATTTCACGTCTACAGACTAACAGGAATTATACAACTTCAAGGAACAACAGCTTGATTAGGACTTGAAAATAAGAAAGGCATTTAAAAACAGTATGGAGTTGAAAGTGAGTCAAAAAATCAATCTTTCTTGACTTCACCCCATTATTATTTTTCACTCACTGAAAGCTTTACAATTATTTCAGTTCTCAAAGTGTTCTGATAAAATTCAATGAGAAATTTTGATTTCCTCAAAATCTGCAAAATTTTTCTTCAGTTTCCTTTCCTAATTCTCAATTCTTATCCTCAATTTTATTTAATATATTCTCAAGTTTATATATTGAGTATCTTTTTATCTCTAGTATAACTAAACATTCTAATGTGCTGCTTCTGGATATTATTTGTAGATGATATATAAACAGAATTAAATTTGTATCACACTGAGCTAAAGCCTATCTGATGTTACCTTTTTTTTTTTTTTTTTTTTTGAGATGGAGTCTTGCTCTGTCACCCAGGCTGGAGTGCAATGGTACGCTCTCGGCTCACCGCAACCTCCGCCAACGGGTTTGAGCAATTCTCCTCCCTCAGGCTCCTGAGTAGGTAGGACTACAGGCAAGCACCACCATGCCCAGCTAATATTTGTATTTTTAGTAGAGACGGGGTTTCACATTGTTGACCAGGATGGTCTCGATCTCTTGACCTCGTGATCCACCTGCCTCGGCCTCCCAAAGTGCTGGGATTATAGGCATGAGCCACCACTCCCGGCCAATATTATACTTTTATAATTAAATGAAGTTTAATACAGCTTTTAAAGCATTTAGCAGTTTAAAAACTCCATGGGCAGATGGTTATTTAAAATTCCATTCCAGAAATGTATTAATGCACATAGTTATCCAATTAAGGAATTTCTCAATATTTATTGGTAATAGATAACATCAACAAGTTTTAGGAATCATTCTAAAAACCGGAGAACTAAATGATATAAATAACTTGTTATGGATATTGTGCTCTGATTATGGCAGAAAACATGTTATATGGAATAACCATCTCATTGCATAGCTGCACATCTGCATTTTTAAAAATATGCATATGCTGCCTGGCACAGTGGCTCACATCTGTAATCCCAGCACATTGGGAGGCAGAGGTGGGCAGATCACAAGGTCTAGAGATCGAGACCATACTGGCCAACATGGTGAAATTGGGTGTCTACTAAAAGTAAAAAAAATTAGCTGGGCATGCTGGTGTGTGCTTGTAGTCCAAGCTACTTGGGAGGCTGAGGCAGAAGAATCACTTGAATCCAAGAGGCAGAGGTTGCAGTGAGCTGAGATTACACCATTTCACTCCAGCCTGATGAGAGAGTCAGACTCCGTCTCAAAAATAAATAAATAAATAAAAATGTGCCTATGCCAATGTTGGAAGACACAAAATGGGAAAAAAAGAAATCTTCCTATTTACAGTCAATAATCAGATAAATGCATTTGTTTCAACAATTGAGATGGTTTAGGTTAAGAATAGACCTTAAACATCTCATTTGATACATTTTTTATCACAAAACGTAAAAAGTATATATTATGAACCCAACTACTTTCCTGTGTTGAGCAGTTGGTGTCATATAGAAAATATGTTATGATAGCGAGTAATGCTAGAGCTGAAGACATTCTTTATCCTAGTAAACAACACAAAAAGTCTGTTGCCTATCGTATAGTATTTTTAGTATCATTTGTACAATGATGTGGATTGGCATTACATAATATAGAAACTTGCTCAAAATTCAGTCTTGTGAATTATTGGTTTTATGCTCTGTTATGAATGTTAGATAAAAAACACCCCAGTGATACTACCAGCTAATAGGCACACATATATGTGTCCTATATGCTGTGAATCTAGTATATCTAAGAAGTTTTGGATGCCATGTGATTTTATAAATAACATGCACACAGAAGCAGAAATAAAAATGGGGCAGTGACGATTGGAATTAAAACTATAGCTTTATCCTTATCTTACCCTTAGTATTACACATTATTACAACTGGTAGAAGAATACTGTAGAAAGTTTTTAAAAATATTGCAGGATATTCTCCCTTATAAGTGCAAGCTAAATGATGAGAACTCATGGACATATACAGGGGAAGAACACACATTGGGGCCTATTAGAAGTTGGAAGATGGGAGGAGAGAGAGTATTAGGAAAGGTAACTAATGGGTTTTAGGATTAATACTTGGGTGATGAAATCTGTATAACAAACCCCCATGACACAATTTTACTTATGTAAATCTGCACACGTACCACTGAACTCAGAATAAAAGTTAAATTAAAAAAATAAAACAACCTTGAATTCCTGGGACAACCCTCCCCCTTCAAAAAAAGAAAAACAAAATAAAGAAATAAAAGCAGTGCATGCACGTTGCAATATCTCCACACAACAGAAAGAATTAAGAAAGCGATCTAGTACCAAGATGTCACCCTCTCCCAATCCTTTCTAAATCTGTTCAAATCTATCTTTAATATGGTCATCATATAAAACATTTTAAAATGTGTTTCATAACTGGAAATTCATTCAGTTGTTTTGTAAATGGGGAAGAAATATTGAGAAAAAATATCATTTCTAAAGCTTAAGTGAATATATATTGCCAACCTAGAAGGAATATTCACCCTCAAATTAGTAAAGAGTTTGAGATGAAATAAATTCATGGAGGTTTAGCCACTTATTCAACAAATACTTATTAAGCATTCTTATTATGTCAAGCACAGTTCTAAACAATGAAAGTACATCAGTGAACAAAACAGATAGAGTTTATATTTGATAATATATTCTAGTATGTCTTTAATTCAGTGTTCAACTACTATATAATGAACTAATCTCTGCTTTTACCAAGATGTGAATATGCATGTTTAAGTAAACTCAATCTCCAGATTTTGATTTCAGCCATCACATTTACCACTTGAAAATTTATTATCCTTAAAATTAAGAGTTTTCCTTGAAAAGGCTGAGTTTAATTCTTTGAATGACCAGTACAGAAATATTAAGGTACTAAATATGGATATAAATAATCACTGCTTAGTCTTAATGGAAGCATGGCACATTTAACTCAGATATCCAGGAAAAATATGTCTACAGATGTATCTTAACGTGTATAAATTACGTTCTAATTTTTCCATCTCTCATGAAACATGTGATGAGACAACCTTAAATTTCTTTACCCTTCTCCTGCAACCCACTCCCACTACAGATTAAGGTTAGTTTGGAAATTGATAAGGGAAACTACTGAAAGAAGATATGAAGAATTAAAATTTTGGACAAAGTTCCAGTAATGCCCATGCTATTTAAGTGGTGCCCTTTATCAGCAAGACATCATGGTTGAGTAAGCAATAGTTATATTTAGAGGGACAGAATCATGTCAATTAGATAAAGCAAAGGCAGAAATAAATTAAGCATCTCTGAAAATTTAAAGATACATAGAACAAAAATGGAAGTTCATTTTATCATCTCTGAGCAATTTAGTTCTTTTTTGTTTGTTTTTGAGATGGAGTTTTGCTCTTGTTGCCCAGGCTGAAGTGCAATGCTGTGATCTCGGCTCACCGCAACCTCCGCCTCCCGAGTTCAAGTGATTCTTCTGCCTCAGCCTCCCGAGTAGCTGGGATTATAGGGATGTGCTACCATGCCCAGCTAATTTTGCATTTTTTAGTAGAGAGGAGATTTCTCCATGTTGGTCAGGCTAGTCTCGAACTCCTGACCTCAAGTGATCTTCAGGTCCCCTAAAGTGCTGGGATTACAGGCATGAGCCACGGCACCCGGTCCCACAACTAGTTCTTAAAAGGTAAGCAGGTAAGGGAAGTAGGCATCTACTATATGCAATTCTAGAAATTTCAAATCACACAATGTTCAAATGCTTTGCCAGAAGAATTCCAAGGCATAATATCCTTGATATTTTTGTTAATTTATTCTTCATTATAGTGCAGGTTTCATTTGTAATATAGTTAAATGAATTCTATGTGAATGACTGGATTATATGCTACAATATCAAATATATGAGTGAATGGTTGATACGCTACAATTTTTTGACCAATTTTTACAATAGTAC